TTTTTCATTTTTTAATTCATATGCGAGCAAAGTTATAATCATCATCGTTGTTAATAAACATAGATAATATGCCAGCTTCACTGTCTTGTTCTTTGACCAATTAAACCGCCTTTTCCTTCAAATGTGGGACAGGTTATATCTCTATGTGATGATCTTCGTGTCTTGGGGAAGCAAGACTTCAAGCATCTTTTAAAGTAAGCTTGTGCATAATGTAACATACAACGAACCAATCATACACGGATAACTGTTTACCATATTTGGTGATTCTGCGTTTCTCTTGAATGATCTTGTGCCTTCAATGTTTGTGTTGTGGTGTAGATGGCGCATGCAAATAAGGAAGGCACTGTCTCCTATAGAGAAGGCTACTTTTGTTACGACGACCGTGGAACGGGAGGGCAAAGAACATGAAGATGATAGGATACTTAATGAAATGGAGGAGTTGGCAAATGCCATGGAGCAGAAGAAGAAAAAGACAAAGAAACTTCTAGCAAAGAGACAAGCCAAGGTTATTGCCCATGTTCATGAATCCCTTCCTGCTTTATTAGGTTCTTTTCTTAAGATACATAGTCAACAGATAAGATTAAGCAAACGTGGATTAGTTTGAGCTAATGTCTTGGTTCTTTGAAGCTATTGTCAGTTAACATTTAATTAAGAAGGCAGGTGAATCAGTTGATGATACTAGAATACCTTTTTTATCTGATTTTGTATCAAGCAATGGGGAATAGTCACCATGCTTGTTTTATCACTGTAGGCTTTCTACCATGCTAGATTATTTGTCGGTTAAGTGGGCATAACACAGTGAAAGCTGGGTGCTACTGAAATATATTGTCAGTGCTGTGTGGAACAAAGCTTCTAAATTTTAGATGTAACCTGATTAGCTGATCTAGTAACAATTTTGCAACTAATAATATAAGACTTGGAAATGTGTGTCAAGGCTGAGATTTTAACCACCATGTTGGATTAGTATCACGGGGATTTTTAAGACTTGGAGGTTTATTCCTAGATTAGATTTATTGTAGAACTTTACATTCTTGATGCATAATATTAAGAATTTTAAGTCTAAATTTGTTGTTGGATGATATCAGATGGCGATATTGCCTCCTAGCATGTATGTCTACCCATCAGGCTTTGATGAATTTTTCAATGGTTCAATTCCCACATCCTTTGAACATTTCTACCTATACTATATACAAAACTTGTTCCTAATTCTTGTTAAGTTGTCCTGTATATCATCACCCCATCTTTTCCTCTGGGTTTGTTGCACTTGCATGTAATCTCTGTTTTTGCTGTCGATATTTCTGTACTCTTTAAATACATTACTAATTCTCATTTTTACTTGTTTAAGTTCAATATATCCTGCTTTGTCTAATAAATGCTTTCGTCTTTTCTGCAGGACAAAGCTAGGAAAGCATTAGGCAAGCAAATAGACGCGACAGAGGATGGCTACACCGATCATGAATTGTTCACTCTAACTTCTATCAAGGTATATTTCTCCTTCATTTATTATTACATTAACAGTTCGAAAGATCTGTTAATTTTAGCTTATATTAATTGGCTTGTGTTTCTATTCATGTATGAAGTCATGTGGTTTTCTTCTTACTCTTGTAACATTTTATAACTGTTATCTTTCATGGAAGAAATCAAATGGAAACCCAACAATGATTTTATTTTCTTATTTATGTTTATCAAGTTTTACTAAATTTTGCTGAATTGGTAATGTTGAGCTTTTTCCCATTTGCAGTAACTTTGCCTTTTCACTATATAAAGTGATGGAAATTCTTCTAATCTATATTGGATTTGGTTCCCTTTTAAATATAGGGATGTCATTTCGTATATTGTGTAGGCATCCAATTGTGTACTTTTTGTCAGTTTTACACGAAATCTAGTATTTGCTTGGTATACACCTATAATATTATTCTCTTTTTGGAATGCTTTCATTCAGGGGAAGAAAGAACTTGTGGCTATTGATAATGATGAATATGATTGTGAAAATGATGAAATTGGAAGTAGTGACAGCGAAGGAGGCCTTGAGGAAGCCCAAGGGGACACATCTAGTGATGCAGACACTGATGAAGAACACCAACGGTAGTTGTTTCCTCTTAATTTGTACGTAAGCTTGTAAAGTGTGGTCTGTTTTCGATGCTTTTATAAGCTAACAGTATTTTGCTTTCAGGTATGGTGAGCAACTGCAGGAGTTACTTGACAAAGCCTACGAAAGATTTGTAGCTAAACAGGAAGGAACTACGAAGCAGAGAAAGCGTACAAAACAAGCTTATTTTGAGGGCGATCAACTCTTGGAGGTAAGCTACATTTTTCTCCTCTCCCATCAAATATGCACAAAAAAAAGAATGAATGAGCTCAATTTTGTTGTCAGAAAATGCACTTCTTTGCTAAATATGTATTTTTCTTTATGGTTTGGACAGGGTGACAATGACAATAACATGGTTCATTCTGATCGAGACTCCGATAATGATGGAGATCGTGAGGTGAATCCGCTTGTGGTACCACTCTTAGAGAATGCACCGAGTCAGGAGGAGATTGCATCAAAATGGTTCAGTCAAGATGTCTTTATGGACGCCGATGAAAGAGAGGATTTGGAGAATGATGATAGCGAAGGTGAAATGCAGATGGATATGCCAGTCGAACATCCCACAATTCAGGAGAAGACAATTGAAGATTCACCAGAAAAATTCAAGGGTTCAAGAAAGACAAGTAAATTACCTACAGTAAAAGTTTCCAAAGTAGATGACGATCTTGAGATAGTTCCTGCTCCACATATAGATTCTAGTGATTCATCAGACGACTCAGATGAAGACGACATTGGTTCAAAAGCAGAGATATTAGCTTGTGCAAAAAAGATGCTGACGAAAAAGCAGAGGGAACAGGTTCTTGATGATGCGTACAACAAATATATGTTCCATGATGAGGGATTATTACCGAAGTGGTTTGTGGATGAGGAAAAGAGGCATTACCAGCCAATCAAGCCTGTGACAAAAGAGGAGATTGCTGCAATGAGAGCACAGTTCAAAGAAATTGATGCTCGGCCAGCAAAGAAGGTGGCACAAGCGAAAGCTAGAAAGAAACGAGCTGCCCATAAGCAGCTAGAAAAGGTACGCAAGAAGGCGAACTCTATATCGGATCAGATAGAAATATCAGACCGTTCGAAGAGTAAAATGATCGAACAGCTTTATAAGAAGGCAACACCTAAAAAACCTAAGAAGGAATATGTGGTAGCAAAGAAGGGCGTTCAAGTCAAGGCTGGAAAGGGGAAAGTTGTTGTTGATAGACGAATGAAAAAGGATGCCAGGAAGCAGGGAATGAACAAGCGGGGGAAAGAAACAAAAGGAAAGAAGAAAGGTAAAGGATCAGCGAAGGGACCAAGAAAGGGGAAGGAAAAGGGAAAGGGAAAAGGAAAAGGGGGAAGTAAAATGAAGTAGAGGACAACAATATTACTTTTATAATATTTTTTATAATATTGTTTTTCTTTAAAATAGACTCCTTTATCATTTCTATAAGAGTTCATTTATTCGATAGGATTCGATTCCTTTTAACTAACGTTTTATGCTTCTTTTGCCTTTTCCCTGCAAGCTGATAAATTTATTATTTGATTTCATACTTTAGTTATTTTTGAGAAATCTAAGTGAGATGTGAATCAAGGAAAATAAATGGATAGAAAAATAATGAATAAGGACAGCAATATTACTTTTAATTGGTCAGGGTTTAATTAATACGTTTTTATTTTTATGCCTCTTTTCCTGTGATTTCCACTTAATTTGTGAAATTTGTGAGCCTTGCAAAACCGGGGATCATGTGGGTAAATTTTTTTTTATTATTGTTTCAATTTAGTAGTTTATTGTTATAGAGAAACATGCTATCTTTTGATAAGAATTTTCTACACATTATAGGGTTGACTTGTAATCCATGTTCATTATTTCATTTTGCTATATTCGGTCATATTTTTGAAATCCAAGTGACATGTGAGTCAAGGAAAATAGATAGATAGTAAAAATGTAATATTCCTTTTATTTGGTTAGGATTTAATTAATACATTTAGTTTTATGTGTCATTTACTGTGATTTTCAGCAAATTTATGTAATTCATGACTGTCTTAGAGAAGCGGAGAGTGTGTGGGTAATTGAAATATATCAATTCAATAGTTTCTATAGAGAAACATGCTATGAAATTTCTACGTATCTGATACAGTTGAATTGTAATTCATGTTTACTTTTTGCTTAGTATTGTTTGTTGATTACTAGTTTGTTTACTAATGTTATGGAGATACTGAGAGGGTGTTGTTTTCTCAGTTCCTAAATTCTGATTTCTTAGAAAATATATTGGACAAGTCATTTGGAGTACCATAAATTGTTGTTGTATTTCATTATTTACTTCAGTTAGCAACTTGCTGCTTATCAACTTAAATTTCCGTCCAAGGATGGATGCAAATTCGAAGTTGGGCTGTCTAGGCTGGCAAAACAAAGTAATTCCATGCTTAACATAATTAAGATATGAATTATTTTTCGATTAGATCATACATGCACTATATTGACTAGCACAATTTAAGCCCAAGCTCGTGCAGATTTCTGGGATAAACGTGGCTGAACATCTTCAGTTTTTTGGAGTTGAGCGTGCTTGGACATTCCGTTTGTGTCTTTTATTTGGTGGACTGTGCTCACCCAGCTTAAACCCAGCTCGCCCATTGACACTCTTAATTGTGAAACTATGTAGTTCTTAGAGCATAGTATTGTCTTCAGAGAATTATAACGAGTTAGTATCTATTGGCTTGTACACTGGATCGCTTAATCGAGCTTGTTATTCAAGTTAACATCACTCCTAGTCAGTGGGGTTTTTTTCTTATCATCATGGAGAATTGCAGATCGTCCATGATAGTTCTCCTTTCTGTAGCTTGGCGGGATATTTTCATCTCATACAGCGTGGAAACATTGCAGAAGTTTCTACTGATTTGGGTTTTTTTGGACCAATATCAAGTGCATATTGGCTGACTATCTCTTATCAGAATGGATTATGCTGGTTAATTTATCTTTCTGCTGCTTGAGGTAATGTTTCTCGGCTTCTTAGTTTATCCTATTGCATCTTGA